CGACGGGGGTACCTAACGTCCGGGGGAGACGTTCGATCTCCGGACCATTGGTAACATAGTTATTAGTTTTATTTTTTTATTTTATTTTTAGTTCCAAATTGATAAGGAATTTGGATGTAATGCTCAGGTAAATGTTATTTAGTTTATTTTTCTCCATAAAATATCTTTTTTTCAGATGTTTTTGAACTGTGCTTTTTTTTTTTTTTTTTGGTCCGCGTTCGGCCCGAGCGGCCGAACGCATCCCCAAGGGGTTTCGTACGTTCGGGCGTTCGGGTTCGGGCTTTCGGCCCGTCCCGAATGCCGGTTACCCTGTATATATATAGGGTTGTAAGGTTTTTCAAACCCTACAACCCCATTTTTTCTTTTCCAAATCGCATATTGTTTCCTGTTAAAAAAAAAAAAAAAAAAAAATTAAAAAAAAAAAAAAAAAAAAAAAAAAAGCGATTTTTTGTTTTTTTCTTTTCTTTCTGTTCTTTGGTTGTGTGTGTGTGTGTGTAAGTGCGTCGGGGGGGGGGCGAGCCCCTTCCCACCAATCAGTCAATTAATCAATCAATCAATCAATCAATCGAAAAAAAAAGTGTGCACGAGTGTGTGTGTGTGTGTCGCAGAGAGAGAGAGAGAGAGAGAGAGAGAGAGAGAGAGAGAGAAAGAGAGCATGCAAGTCTCCAACCTCGCGGCTGGCTTCATGCACTTCCATGAAGTTCCATCGATAGGATGAGCAAAATCGAATGAATCTACCGCTAGAAGATGGAAAGATACACTGCCACACTCATTTTTCAGTCAGTCAATGCGTGCGCACAAGTGCGTGTTTGTGTGTGTGTGTATATGTGCCTGTGTGTATGTGTGTGTGTGTTTTTGTGTGAGAGAGAGAGAGTAGATAAGTCTCCAACCTCGCGGCTGGCCTCATGGTACTTCTATCGATAGGATGAGCAAAATTTAATGAAACTATCCATTGAACATGGAAATATACACTGCCACACTCGTTTTTCTGCGGCAGTGTGTGTGTGTGTGTGTGTGTGTGTGTGTGTGTGTGTGTGTGTGTGTGTGTGTGTGTGTGTGTG